GATAGGATACTTGACGTATATATAACCTATCCTCCTCATTGTTATTCTGGTATGGAAAAGTTCATTTGCAGGCAGTGGGCCTTACTGTGGACCCAGGGAAACATGGGGGCTTTGTTCTACTGACCTCTGTAGCTTTACTGAAGAGTATAAGGAGCTGTGCTTTTGCAAGAAAAGAGGAACCTTGCCCCACAAGATTTGTTAATACACCTTCTTTGGGTTCAAGCACTCTAATTCACAGAAGAGGACCATCACTCTTGGAAGATTAAGACAAGGAACAGGAGCAACAGACTGAGACAGTAAAGGCCCAAAATGGCCCCCATTTAAAGAAGCTTTGGATGGTGAGGATGTTTTGAAATTAATGAGTAACCTGTAGTTGGTTTATGCTGTTTCAGACTGGCTTTTCGTCTTCATTTCATGAATTAAAAGACACCACTGCTACCTCCTCTGTGTCATTTCCAACTTCTCTTTGTTCAGGTCCGACTTCCCCATCAGTATGCTGCCTTTTGTGGATCTAATTCTTACACAAGAAAGTCCTTATTTCTCATAAGAAGCCTACATATTTAAATTGGAGTTATGATTCATTTTGGGCCACTGATAACTTTAAAGTATTCCTAAAATTGCACTATACTTCATCTGGTACTTAGAGTTGTCCTTATGAGACCCACTGGATACAGGCTATGTGCTAACTCATCCAGCTGCCCCATATCCAAAACTGGATAAACTTTTCAGATGCACAGGCCTTGGTACATATTAACAGTGGCAGAAATCATAGAATCATAGAATGGTTTGGGCTGGAAAGGACCTCAAAGGTCATCAAGTTCCAATTCCCTTGCCATGAGCAGGGACACCTTCCACTAGACCAAGAACCCATCCAGCCTGGCTTAGTCGATCTTTGAATTCATTCTGTGCTTTCCACAATTTCCACAATTATGTTTCTTCTTTTAAAAAATGTATAAAGAGGGGACTCAGATGTTTTTTGCCTCACATATTGTCATGCCCTTGTAAACCACTCCTGCTGTGAGAGCTGTGCTTTCCTGCTGTAGGAGGAGATAGGGTAAGGTTACTTTCTGAACACAGTATTGGCACCAGCAAAGTCCCCTTTGGACTGGAAGGAAGTACAGCAAAACAAAAAGATATTGAGGGAGGAAATCTCCCAGCAGCAACTATGGGACCTAAAGCATGCTATTTCATAAGATGTATGCTTCTTTTGGTGTGCTGTGTGCTAATCCTTACAAGTGTTCTATAAATAGAATGATAGCTAAACATGAGCAAATCTTAAGAATAACTCAACTGTTTCAGAATCTCGTTATATTTTTAACTTGATTTCAGTCTTGTTCAAACTCCATACCAAAAAAGCCAATTCAGGGCTGCAGGCAGCCTTGAAAAACACTTAAAACCAGAAGAACATAGAAGATACATAACAAAAAATTGATCCAAAAGGCAACATTTCATCCTCAAGCATATTTTATCCTCAAGCATTTCAGAGGCAGTTCTGTCTAGTGCATAGGAAACCATAAACTCAAGAGCAGGGCTTGACTCAGCCACTTGGCAATTCCTTCCCCTAGCCGAATGGTTTACCTATCCCACTCTATTTCAGACTCACCAACACAGGCTGATAACCTTCTGTGGCTGGTACTGCCTATTTTCCTGTATCTGCCCTCTGTCCATAGGTGCATTCCTAATGAATAAGGGTGTATGCACCATTTTTCCCTATAAGACCTCTTGTTTCTCACACCAATGGAAAAGAGGAACCAATATAAGAACAGAGGAAATGTGAGATCCAAGAGGCATCCAGAAGAGTTACAGGAAGGGTAGAAGCTAATGTCACAAAGCCATAAGGTTATGGGAAATAATTTTTTCCTAGTTTTCTGTCATTTGTTATGTAATTACAGAAAACAAGGCCACAGGGAACAAAATTTCCAGGAAGAGACAGGAAAATAGAAATGCCATTCCAGGAGACACACTGGTGATGATTAGCAGCTGAAAGATGCTAATCTGCTAGATGACAGCAAGCAAGAAATTAAATAAGAAGAAATCTATATGCAGATAATTTGCCTAGTTTGGGAGAGTACTAATCTGGCATCTTTTAAAGAACTACTGTTTTGAGCAACCCATATGTTTTATTTCACTAGGCTTTCTATTTTCCAGGTTCTGTCAGGGGATGCCTATTTTTTCACTTAGTTTGTGTTCTGAGAAATTCCCCATGTCAAAAGTCCCTGAAGTTTATAATTAACCACAACAGAGCTCATGCACTTGAAGATGGATGAAGCTGAAAGAAAAGACATAGCCACAGAGAGAAAAATATTGTACTGAAGGCTGTTAACAGGGAAAAATGCTGTCACTGTGCATATCTGCCTGTATAAAAGCAATGTTCAGCAAGGGATCCTTGTCTGGTGTCCCTTAGGCTTTGCAGGTAAGCTGTGTGAAAAGCTAACTTGAAGGGGCAGCTCTATATTCTCCTGCCAAGGCCAGGAAATGCTGTTATAAAATCTAGTATTCTTCCTGGAATATTTATTAGGAGTTTGGAAAGATTGATTTGGCCACTGAGGATAGATATGTGAGCATCTGCTGTAATGGCAGTAAAAAGAATTAGACTCATCAGGAATAGTAATTCATAATGATAGTGGTGGTGTTTGCTCTTTGAATATAAAGAATCTCCTAGGCCCTTCAATCAAAGTATAACTAACACTACTACGTGCAAGAAAAGCCTCCCTTTCTTCTTTTTCCTTTTTTTTCTTTTTCCACAGCAAGAGTTGCAGTCAGAAAAGGGCCCAAACATGTGAGCCTCTGAGCACAGGAGTGAGTGGATGATTGTTAATTGAGGTGGTTCCTTTTCTGATCACCTCATACAAACAGAAAGTCTTGCCATCACATTTGCAAAGATACTTGAGAAACTGTTACTGTCTGAAAAATTACGGATGAAGGAACCTGATATACAGGTCTGGTAAAACTCAACACCATTTGCAGTACTGACATAACTGGATTTTGGTTTCCTAAGGAAAGAGGAGAGATGAAGTAGGAAAGGCAGATGTCTTCTCTTCTCCACCTGGGACACAGGGAAAGGAAGCCTGAACTTGATTTATTTCTTTGTATCCCATTAAGGAAAAATAAATGCTGTTCAAAATGCTATATTTCTATTCTTTCTGAAGTATGACCAGAAAGTCATCTGAAGTATGACCAGAAAGTCATCCTAACATCCTAAGTAAAGATGAATCACATTCATGATGAAGTCACTCAGACTGGGTGAACCTCTGCCTCCTCCACCTCTGCTCCTCAGGTGAAACTGCAGTACACATTTTTTAAGAATTCTCCATGCTTACTCTTAACAGTCTTTTACGTTGACCAGGAATAAGGAGTTGTAAGGAAAGGTGCTATAGAACTTAGCAGAAATAAACCCAACATTGTATTGTTAAAATTAGAACTTAAATTGATATTTAAAATGCTGAACCACGGATCTAATTCTCCATAAAATTCTACTCAAGAGCTTGAATAAAACTGCAGAAAAGATTTCCTTCTTAACTGTAGAGAAATTTGCTGTAAATGGATGCAATGGTGTACTTTAGAACCCTGGAGGCAGTTAATTGAGCCCTCCCTCCAATTTTAGCCTGCATATTCTTTGCTAAGCCCACACATGCAGCTGAAAGAACAGCTCCTGGAGTACCATCCTGCTCTAAAAATGAATCTCTGCGTGGTCATGCGCACTGATATAGCCAGAACAGCATGCTTGTGACAAGTGTTGTACACAGGGCGTTTAAGAATACGGCTGCAAAAGATTAGCAGCAAGCAGGTTCTTGCTTAAAATGAGATAGACGTGGGAGACAAATAACGTGGGAAACAAGTGGAAATGAAAGAGTCTTCAAAGACCATTGAAAAACCTCTTCATTCTAAGGAAACAGCCCACATTAGCAGCTTAAAAAAAAGACCCATACTTATTTTGGTCAGCATTGACAACCTTCTTCCGTTGTGTAGTAGTTTCCTTCTCAAATAGTCAGGTGCAGAGCACAGTCTTACTCATTGGGAGCAAAGCTGACAGAATCTGCCTCTCACTTGGGCACATTCAGCCTTTCACAGACTTTATACTGTATATCTGGTGAGTCAAGCACCCATTCTGCCAAGCCTCCATATGTAAATGCAGGCTTACCCCCACTGGCACAGCATAGCAGAAGACGTTCCCAGACTTATTTATTATTTATTGGAAAAACATGTTTATTAAACAGCCGTGCTTCAAAACACAACTTTCTTTTTCTTTTCCCTCCTTTTTCCCTATAGCCTCCTAGGATCTCTCTGGCACCAAAAATTTCCCTGCAATTATAGCCAACAACTGAAACTCAGACTGAAGTCCAGATATAGATTTCACACCCCTCTGGAGCAATCACTGAGAATTTCAGGGATTTAAGGAGTTTCAAGAACTGCCTGCAAAGAGCTAAATCTTACAGAAGTATTGCTCGTTCACCACCAGACACATAGGGACTGTACTTTTTATTTTAACACTCATAAAACATGTACAAGGGCTGAGGTGTTTTTGACACATAAATCTCAGGTGCTGAAAGTTCACTCTTGTTCTGCTGCCTCTTACAGTTATTTGAGGCAATGTGCCACTCCCAGTGTTTCTGGAAATGTAATGGCACACTTCCCCCTAAAAGCCCAGAGTATGGCTATTATACAGACTATGGAAGTTAAACTCCTTTTGAGGATTCTTGATCCTTTTCTTAAAGCTCAAGTGAAATTTTCCTTGCCAGTCAGCCAAAAATCATATTGAAGTAACCCTAAAATTTTAGAGATATGGGCAGAAAAATGGACTGCATGTACAGCTAGTGCATATTCAGTATGAGCTAAATTGTCCCAGGCTCTGGAAAGGATGTTGTCACTGTGTGACCATGCATCCATCTGCAGAGGGTGAAACAGGCACTCTGGTCACTAGCTCCCCTCCTCTTGGCCCCTGAGAAAGAAATAGCCAAGGACAGTTGTGCTGCCCAGTGGAGGTCTGAAGCCCCTCACCACTCATCTTCTGGGAGACCACGCTGAACTTCTGCCAAGCCACAACGTTTCTGTGCTGGTAGGAACCTGCAGGAAAATGTAAGAATATTCCTTCCCTCCTCTATTTTCATATACAGTAAGTTATTTAACATAAAACAGTGAAAAAATATACATCTGGCCTTTTATTTACTGGCAGTTTCAGACCATGAGCTCTGGTACCAATCCCTGGTGCAATTCCATTGACTTCAGCAGACTCCGCCCGAGGTCACAATGTGCCATTAAGAGTTGAAATAAGACAAGATATGCAGGCCTGTTTCTTTCCAGCCCATAAAACCAGTCTGAAAGGTTTTCTTTCCTGTCTTCATTTTATCCAAGATCTATCAAGAATATTGAGTTCTATCTTTGCTTTGCTGAAGGATTGCTGAAGTGGAAAAACCACTTTTTTTTAATTACAGGGAAGGGGGGCTTAATCTATAACAGAAAGACAGCATTTCCTAGTTAGTTTCCACATATTTTAATTCAGTGGGTGATAACTGAAGAAAACCCAGCATGTTCAGGATGTTTCAAAAAAAAAAAAAAAGAAACTTTTCCTTCAAATTTTCTTAAATTTAGACTTTATGATACATTTTATTCAAGTGCTTGTGCCATACTTAGCATTGTCATCAAGAGTCCTTCCAGAAGTGTATCTGACAACACAATTAACATTTTCACATGTTGTTTGGGGTTTTGCCTTCTTCAGGACAGGTTTATATGGAAGAATGTCTTATTTTCTCCTTTATTTGTTTTTAAAATATCTCTCTGTCTGAGAGAAGGGCAAATAAAAGAGGAACAATTTGCACTAGGTAAATGTGCACAGACTTAGATGTGGTGGACTAAATGAGTGCAGCCTTAGAGCCTTTCCTTAAGCACTGCCTAAGAAGGGACTGTCTGCTGGATACTTCTTACTCCTTGAATAGGAAGGGCCTAAAAGATGGAAGATACTGCAGTCTTCCTCCTTCTTCTTCCAAACTAGAATTAGTTAACAAAGACCTGCTACACTCTGTACCTCAAACCCAGAGACAACACAACAGCAACAGCATGACATTGCTATGGCTGATATTTTATGGCCCTTTGCAACATGGAGTAAGAAGTCATTCAGAAATACTTTTCCAAACACATTTGACAGAAGTTGTTCATTAAGGATATATATCTTTTGAGCATGAATAGCTTAGTGACCCTCCCAAGTCACACAGGTGACTGGGAATTTCAATTTGGTAAAATAACACAGTTTATATAATGGTTGCCTGACTTGTAATTGCCATGTAAACTATTTCCTTGCAGAAGCAAACAACCAAATAACAAATGAAAAACGTAATGCAACTCCACTGACAATCATACTGAAATCTGAATTAGGTGTCACAGTATGTGTCTACTGACATCTACATTGGAGTGGCAATGGGGAGGGGAGGAAAGGCTGTCTCTGGTTTAGATTCCTGAGGCTAAATGCAATACAAATAAACCCTGAAGTGAACAGACTTTCACATGTTATACATCTGTCCTGACTTTGCTTTCCAATATCCTGCTTCCCAGATTTGGTGCGGGCAGATGGTGGATGAGATCTCCCTGGAAGCAGCATGTTCTCCCCCCAAGAGGAATGCCCTTATGTCTCTTAGACATGAACTGTCTGGCTGATTAATAAGCAGTGCTGTTGGGCTTAGGAGAAAGTTCAGATTTGCTTCTTTTGCCTGCCAAGTGGGACTTTACTGGGGCAGGGGTGTTAAACTGGGACTGTCGGAGAAGTTGGGAGCAGATGGTGGAAGTGACCAGAAGAAGTGGGAAGGGAACAAAGGAGGATGCTGTGTCCCCTGAGGGAACAACCTGTTGCCTGTGGTGATTTTGTCTGGCATGGCAATGAGGATGCCAGTGCCTGGAGCTGCAGAGAGGTGCCTCGTCTCCTCAGCCCTCACCGCCTGCCAGGCTTACCGGTGTGATGTGACCTCTCCAGGTCACCCAAAAAGCCCATGACTCCTGGCAGAGAACCTGGTGCAAAGTTTTGTTCTCTGAAAAGACTTCTTTCTTCCCCTGGATAAGGAAAATCCTTCTGCTCCTAAGGGAGACAAAAGCAGCCATTCAGTTCAGAGCTGGGGCTGTTTTCAAGGCTTCCAGCAAACACACTGTGCTTCAGTACTGCTGATAAATGTGTTAAATGAGAGCACATGCTTTTAGAGGGCAAGCATGTACTTTACCTAAATGCTATTTACACGTGAGTGTTAATCAAGAAATATATTCTAATCCAATTCTGGCACAATATTATTTTTCCTTCCTTTCCCTGACCCAGCATCTATATGAACAAAGGGCACGAAAGACAGAGCTGTCATTTGATTTATGCTACTGACTGTGTTTATCACTGACCGTGCATTTTCTTTAACTTTACATAAAATCAGTGTTTGGGACACCATAAAGTTGTAAAGGGACTTTTAACACAACACTGTGTTTACTGACTTCACTGACTTTACCCAACACATCAATAATGAAGAACCACAGAAACAACCCAAAGTAATATATACACCTCAGAGGGAGAATTTAAAGAATGGTAATGCAGGCACTTCTGCAGCAGGACCCATCCCTACATTTCCTACAGAGAAATGGGAAGCAGGTGAGGTAGCTCTGGGGCTGTGGGTAAAGCTTAGCAGTCCTCCCCAACTCACAATGCCATGCAAGGATGGGACTGACTAATTTCTGGGAAAATCTCAAAAGTGACAGAATCTGAGAAGAGGGGGTTTAAAGGCCTCTTGGATAAAACCTAAGAGGTCCTAGTAAGTAAACTGTAGAAAGGAGCTTTTGGGGGTATGGTATGTGCTGACAATAGCAAGTTGAGAGAAAAATAAAATTCACTTTTACTGTGGCTGCTTGAAGCCTGCAGATAAAGATGCAGACCTGAGATCAGTGAGACCACTCTAGAAAGCCTATGTGAAACCAACACAGGATTTCACAGGGCTGTACTTGCAACTTTGCCTCCACAGAGTCTTCACCAGACCAGTCAGTATTTACAAGGATATTTCTAGATGCCTGCAGACCTCAGTGTATGACAAATGCTACAAAATGAGAAAAAATAATTTCTTGGCTCTTTCTCAAGATGCTGTAAAGGTATTCAAAAATTTAATAGTCATAATAACTTGATATGCTTCAGAACATTAACTCAAGAGACATTTTTTTCAAACAGATTCACAATATTTATAATAACCCTTATGCTATGCTGCTTGTTGCCACCCACGTGAAGGAGCTGCCATACAATGTTGTCTTACATTATTTGCTTAGCTGCAGAAATTTTGGCATGGTATTGTATAGAAAATGAGAGGAATTAACTGTGTGCTGCTGATATATTTTCTCCTCCTGCAGTTTCACGTGGTTACAGCTCCCATGTTGCACCCCAGAGGTGCCTTCATTACAGTAGGTGCATGCTTTCCTGTGTGTTAGAATGAGTTTGTAAAATATTCCTTGGAATTAAAGATACTGGATGGATTTCTAATTGGACATTTAGTATAGCTAGCTGGCACATTGGTGACAGCTTCATTTAATGTATACAGCTTAATTGGATAGCTCATTTGCCAAGCCCCAACTGGCAGCAACAAGCACCAGGTTCTGCATCTAGATGTCCACTTTTAACATCATCTTGAGACACCAGAGAGAAACCAAATCAAACTGTGAGAACACTTAGTGAGCAATATATTCCCTGCTCACAAGCAGTGAATCAAACAGGCTTATTCAAAGAGCACCTTATTTGGGAGACCATAAAAACAAAGAAGAGAAAAAGAACAGCACACAGAAACAATCTACAATAGGCCCCTTTGCTCTCTGCTCCAGTCCCTTCTACTCAAAGCAGATGAATAATAATTCATATTGCCCTTCTTTTAGCATGTTGCTGCTTATTGCTTTTCACAACCAGACCCATCACTTCCTGACTATGAAGATACCAAATTTTCCTAATTTAGACCTTTAGAGAAAAATCTCAGCTTACTGTGAAGGGGCTAACATCTCTCCTGATAGCCTGCCCTGCTGTTGTTTCCACTTCTCACTAGGAATTAAAAAAAAAAAAAAACAAAAACCAAAACAAGAGACAGCCCATGAACACCTCACCTAAAGAAAGGAGCTTCCTTAAAAGTAGGGTCCTTTCATGCTTCCCAAGTTTCTTTGGCCCAGTTCTTTCTTCTGCAGCATCAGATCTGGGCATCTGGTCAGGCTCAGTGATACTTCACTGGTTTCAATGAAAATGCCATAAAAAATGTTTTAGAGGTCAGGGTTAACAGTGTCTCTCAAAAATTTACTAGAGCTTACAAGACCCAAAACTTACTCTAAATCTTCAGTAGTTGTCATTGCTCTCTGGATACTTTTGCTTGTAGAGCACTGAGTAAATTCTGTGTCTCCTCATACTCTAGGTACTAAAGTTCATTGCTGAGACAACAACTTCAATGTTGTGCTCAGGATTTTCAGAATCACAATCCTCTCTCTTAATCCTTTTCATTGATTCCAGTCCACATATTGATATTTATTTTGGAATATGATATTTTGATCAGTATTAAACTGAGTTGTGTGGCTTTTTTTGGAGATAAAAACATAGTAGAAATGTTAATCTGATTGGCTAACCAAACAGTAATGTTAAATATGCAATTTCAACATCTCTTTCCTGAGATATGTTGGCTACTTATCTTCTTTAATTTTACAAAAACAATTTTTCTACAATCTGTGTGGCTAGGCTGAAAAACATGGGTATACAGCTTGGCCACATATTCTCTCAAAATAAAACCAGCAATAAAATATGTAGTGAAGATTGAAATGGATGAAATACAGCAGAGAGAGATGAAAATCATCTCCTGCTGAAAACAAAGGCAAATTTATAATTGATTTAATTTTAGTTGGGATATCAGTCAAGGCATGTAGACGTCTCAGGAACATGTCTTTATGTGTGCAACACCCACCCTCCCCCTCCCCCCACCACTACACCTACTTCCATTTCTTGTCATGGTTTCTTCATCACCAAAATCCAATGTTTTGGATTATATGAGAGACCTGAGAGTCCATCAGTTCCAAAAAGCAAGCTCCAAGTCAAGGACAGCCTGAGAACTGTTACAGTTGTACTTTCCACTGACAAAAGTCACTGTTTCCAGCAGAAAACTATAATATCTAAATGCAGTGGGAAATCAGATCCTTGGTAGAGCAGTATAGCTTTATTAAAGATGAAAATGACTACAATTATACCGGTAGCTCATCTGATTGATGAGTAGAATCTCACCTTGTAAGACTGCAAGAGGGAAATGGAAGGGAAACATTTTCCTGTGCTCCCTTAAGAAAGCAGAGAAAAAATTGGTATTAAATGGGCCATGGATGCTAATGTGTGATGGTGACTGTGGATGAAGGTTGCAGGACTTGTAACAACATTTTCTGTGTACCCACATCAGTGGCAAGTTTTGAGATCCTTTCCTTTGGACTGTAATTCAGACCTGATTGAGAACTCTTTTTTATAATCTCTCTTTTTCTTTTTTTTTTTTTTTTTTTTTTTTTTTTTTTTTTTTTTTTTTTTTTTTTTTTTTTTTTTTTTTTTTTTTTTTTTTTTTTTTTTAATTGAGCTCACCATACCATCAAGTAGACTACAATTGAAATGAACAAGATGAGATTTGAAATGGGAACAAACTCCTTCCCAAAGAAGTCAGCTATTGAAGAAATGATTCTGGGGTAGGCAGAACTGGTTTTCTGGTACTCAGGTCTACTTACCCTGTGAATAGGCACTTTCAAATTAAACTCCTTTCCTTGAGAGATTCACAAACCTCTCTATTTATACATGCAGATGCTAAACAGAGCAGGAGGTACTGACTCCTTCAAGATGCACTGTCTTCAACAGTGGTGAAGATTTATTTTGCTGATGCCTGTGTGGGATGGAGCTATTAGGGAAATTATTTACTCTGAGAAGGAAATTAATACCAGACAAAACAAGAAGAAAGGATCTTGTTTCTGGAATGCTTTTTCTTCTCTTTAAACCAGAGGAAAGAAAACTCACCTAAAGAATGAGGCATTTAGAAGGTTTAAAATTTATTAGGTGCAGAGAAATAACCTTGGCAAAACTTGCTTTTCTGTGTCAATACCTTGAGCAAGAGCAGATTCAGACAAATGTAGCAGGAAGTACTGAAGGAATGAGAAAGATTTAAGAGCAGTGGGATGCTGCTGTCTTGTAATGCTGAGCTAATTCAATGTCCCATCAAACATCCTGGCACAAGCATACAGCTCTCTGCCACATAATCCAGACAGCAAACAGAAGCAAAACAAAACATTTCAATTAATATACCACTAAAGGTAACAAGATGACCTTGACTTGTCTGAATTCACCCTTTAGCAAAATACATGTATGAATAAATAATGACTAACATTCGTAGTTTTAATAAAACCAGTTGTGTTCTGTATGGGGAGATGAGATCTTTCCTTCACAGCATTTTCCTCCTCCACATATATCAGTTTACTGACTCAAGCATGTTTACTCCATGACCCTCAAATTCAGTTCTATGTTGTTCTGATGCTGGTGTTGATAACGAATCACACTTAAATACTCCTCTGGCACTCCAGTTTAGGGCTCACCTTTTCAAGGCTGTTTTCAGACATCATACCCACCTCCCACAGATGGCATGTCTCAGCCTTGCTCAGTCTCTAGTCCTCTTTGGGTTGTCCATAAACTAGCTATGGTTCTGGTAGTAGGGATAACTCCCATCAAAATCTCCATGAGATGTTGCCCAGGTCCTACCCCAGATACACATCTTTCTTCCCCCTGTAAGACTTGTGGCTGATCCAGCCTTTTAAAGGGAGTGAGATGTGCTTCAGTGTGTGCTTTAGGATGTATTCAATGTGCCAGCATCAGCAATATGCACAGCCAGGTGCTCCCTATAGAGTTAACCTATTTTATCCACCAAAGGGTCATTACTGTCATCTACCAAAGACGTGTCCCAAAAGGTATAATCCTAATCTTATAGCACTCCAATGAGATCTGTGTAAGCAAAATTTGCTGACACTCTTTAGGTATGTCCAAAGCCAGATATATAGACGACTTGGCCTATTATTTTCTCTTCCACTCTCCAGGGAACTCATCATGCTTATCTTTATAAAGTCATCATTGAAGCTTATTTGGACTGGGAGCCAGAACAATAGCAATGTCATTGTCAGCTGTGACTTTTCAAAGATTCTCACATTTTCTATCTTCTTCCTTTGCTAAGGAAAAAATGACCTTGCACCTTATTTCCTTGTTTTCATTGAAGAAGGTGCAAAACTGCATTTCTCTCTTGGCCATTCAGAGAAAAGTCTTTTAATATCACAAACTAAACTGGTGTTTAGATGTTCACATTTAGATGTTTTCCCAGCAGGGATTCAAATGCATCTGCCACTTCAATGTCTCAACAAGATCCTATGAAATACTGGAAGGAAAAGAAAGACTCCACAGTATACAGGGCCAACCAGTGAAAACATTTCATCTGCACTTTGTCCTAGGGATAGTAATTTAAGTCTAATCTGTAAGCAACAGCTTCAGAGTGCTACAAGTACATCCTGTGTCCACTAGCAGCATTTTCAGGGGGGAAGATCACTGGTCTCTCAACTTCTTAGCCAGTTTCTAAAAGGCACTTGTCCCATGGAGGAAGGTTTCTCTCGCCCTGTCTCTTCTGATGAGTTTTCATCACAGGTGAGACATAGAAAAACCTGCAGCCTGTCTTTATATTTTCATGACCAGCTTCCTTCTAGCAATTTACTCTCAGCTCCTCACAGGACAATCAAAATATCAGATAGGCAATTAACAACCCTCCACCTGCACACCCACCCACCCTCAGTGTGCTACAGTGTCTAACAGCATAGGAGAACATAACTAATGACACTTACAGTCCAGAAAAGCAGAGGGAGATAAAAAACATAATGAGTTACCATGGAACAAAGCACTTATTCTTCTATTGAGGAAATGAGCCATAAGAGGCACGGTTAAGGCCTGGGGTTTTGTAAAACTACACGCTATTTCACTCCATATTCATTTTAATTCAACTGAATCCTTTCTTTAAAATATTATTTTTAATTTTTGGTCTTTAGGAATAATTATTAAAATAGGCTGCTTTTTGCCTTTTTTAATAGACTATACAGACATCCAAATGTTCCATCATTCTCTAAACTTAAATTTCTGAAGTAGTCATAACTCCTGACCCTGCATGGGAGAAAATGTGCTTGAAATCAGAGTTTTATACGCAGAGTTTATAACAAATGAGTCTACATTTCCTACCACCTACTATTGATGATCCAAGTCAATATGGGCAAAACAGTGAATAGATTTTCTCACATGGACTCAAAACCAAAACTCTTTGAATATAGATATAGTTGTTTGTGTTTTGTTTTTTTTTTCTTTACACCGGCTTTCATTTGATTCCTAGCTTAGGAGCATTTAGTCTTCAAAATTGTTTTATTGCTGCATTGTGATGTGATGTGATAGATCGCAGTCCAACACACACTTGGCGTTCTCCCAATTATTCAAACAATTCCCAGTTTGCAGAGTAGTGCCCCCAGTATCTGGGTATAGCAGTCCTGGACAGTGGGTTTTCTGATGAATAGCACATCTTCTTCTGAAGCATTTTTCAGCTCACCCGTCACAGTCACTCAGGTCTGATAACCATTCCCATGCCAGGGAGGAGAAAAGGCCTTAACTGGCTACTTGCCATTGCTGACAGACTGATTTGCAGAATCTTCCCTGCAGCTCAGCATGGCTCTAGTAGTCCCTTGAGCTGTTAGAGCCTGTTCTTTCCTCCCTCTTCCTCCTGCGTGCTCCTCCCTCCTGGCCCCTCACTTTCAAGCCTTCTTTATCTTACTCTGTGATTCCTCTGGCAGCTTCATGCACTCTGCTAACACCACTTTATAGCCTTTGCTCTTTGGCTGGTCATCAGGAGCTGTCCCCTCAGATAACAAGGTTTCCTCAGAGGTTCTGCCTCCAGCTCAAGCTTTGCTGCTCAGTCCTTCCCATCCTCTGGGCAACCCCTCCAAAGGACAGCCAGATGTCACACAGTTCATTATGGGTAAACTTCAAATGAAGTTTAAATTGTCATCAATCACATAAAAAATAAAGAAATGGGCTACATTTGAAAGAGTAAACATAAATTATCATTGTCTTTTTTAATCTCTACGAAAGCAATTCTCAAACTCATCTTGTGATTTCACCAGCCATTTGATGCATTATTATC